TGTCGCCTGCAGCCCTCGCCCCGTCTCCCCGGGCGTGCGGCCGGCGGGGAGCAGAGGGGCCCGTGCGCCAGGTCTGCGCCGGGCTGGTAGCAGGAGGAGCTGGGCGGCCGCAGCAGTGGGACTTGCAGGCTGAGGCAGGTCCATGCTACGCGATGTCCAGAGCGAGCAGAGCGTCGGGGACCTTCTCCGTGGGGCTTTTGGCAGGTCCCCAAGCTCCCCAGCTTCCCTGGGGTGGGCCTTGCTAGGAAAACCTCTACAGCCAGTCTGCTCGAATCAGTCTTTGGACTCGAGTTTCCCAGGACTGTTTTGTCACCTGTCCCTGCGAGTCCTGAATGACTGCTTCTGTTTCAGGTTACCTGGGAGGCTTTGATGGGAACTTCCTGTGGAACAGAATCGGGGCTGGTAAGAGCTGGTTTGAACTTTGCCTCCGTCTTCTGACAGACCACAGCAGCGTCATGTGAAGTTGTGCTGACTTTTGGAAGCAGAGGGCGGGTGGGTGCTTGGACATCTGAATTCAAAGACGCAGCAAAAACCAGAGGCTCTTTAGCAGATAGTTTCATAGTTAGCAGGGTCAGAAGGGACCTGAGCAGATCAAGTCCGACCCCCTGCCATGGCAGGAAAGAGTACTGGGGTCAAATGACCCCAGCAAGGTGATTGTCTAGCCTTGATGATTGAGATCCCATAGTGCAGAGGGGAATCATTATAAAGGGTAGCACAGATCAGACAAGAAGCTTATAATATTTGGTTGGAATTGTAGACTGTCAGGGGCTGGCAGACACCTTGGAAGATCGTCGGGTCCAGCCCCCTGCAGGCAGAAAATCGAGACCTCCCGTGGGTGCTGTGGGACGTTACTCTAGTTGCCTCTAGTGAGATGTTGGCAGGGGCAGAGTATCCACAGCTTTTAGAGTGACGGGTACCAGCTCTTTCCAAAAAACCTTACAGGCAGTCGCGATGATTCTGGCCCCTTCGGGAGGCGGTACGAGGTCTGCTGATGCAAGGCGTCCCCTGGGTGCTAAGGAGGATTACGGTATTTCAGACAGATTCTCACATCCCCCCGTGGAGGGTCACACTGCAGTCACTGCCCTTCAAGTTTCTTGACCCGTTCATTTATAGCCAACCAGACAGGGATGCCTGTGGTCTGCAGGGCGCTGTCTAAAACCTACTCCAACTCTGCCAGCATCTCTGTAGCAAGCAGGTGTTTCCTGCACTCACGTTCTGCTGCTGGTTTCTGTTCCAGAATATACCATGAATGTGCCCGTTTGGTCCCTCCGACTGCTGCCAGCCGTGGCCGGTGCCCTGTGCATCCCTTTAGCATACCAAATCCTGGTGGAACTGCACTTCTCCCACTGCGCCGCGCTGGGAGCTGGTCTGCTGATCCTCTTGGGTAAGGATTCCCCCTTCCTTCCCCCCTGCTGTCTGTCCAGGGCTTTCCCTAGTGAATGTTTGCCCAGTGACTCCTTGAACGTGTGAAGCAAGAGCCAGGGAGGTGTTTGCCGTGGCAGAGCGGAGACCCTGCATGAAGCAGCTGGTGCTGGTTGTGTCTCGTCGCTCACTGCTTCCTGCCTTGCTTGAGGACACTGTGTCCCCCTCATCTTGCTCACTCTCCGCACTTAACCCGAGCAGCTCTGCTGAAGCCTGCTGCCAGAGGAAATATCTGCTAGCAGCTTTGGAGCCTGGCCCTCAGTGCCCCTCTCTGCAGGGCAGCCCTTGCTGCCTTGCCCCCCCACTCCCAGGCTTTAGGCCTTGTAGCAGACCCCAGCCTGTGGGCTGTTCCTAGTTTGTCAAGCCTGTTACCACCACCTTCATAGGAGCACCTCTGGGTGCCTTTTTAAGGGCAACCTCCTCCAAATGTAGGGGACAGGGCTAATGGAGAACAAGTTAGCCGGCCCAGGCCTGTTGCCTTCAGAGGGGCCAGTCAGTCATCCTGACACAGGGTGATGATGTTACTGCCTTGACTGCTGCCTGATCCTATGTTTCCCTACAAATAATTACTGCTAATTTGGTGCGTGTTTGTCCCCTTTCTGTTAGAAAACTCCCTGATCACTCAGTCCAGGCTGATGCTCTTGGAATCCATATTGATATTTTTTATCCTGCTGGCAGTTTTGTCCTACCTGAAGTTCTGCAATTCACAGAAACGCAGGTATGGAGCATTTGCACCCCTGAAATGGCTAATCATCCCAAGCCGTTCAGCTTGTACGTGCCAGGTGTCTGTGCTGTCTTGGGCTTGAGGGATGTTTCTAGTTACCATCTGAGCAAATAGGTCAAAGGCTTTTTGGCATCGATTATTGTCTCTGGTGCAGAAGATATTGCAGGTCCTACGAGGCTGGCACAAAGCACAGCTAAGAATCCTTGTTATTTGACCATTGCTGTGCCACTGCTGCTGTTGGGCCTTGGTCAAGTCACCTAGCCTCTCTTTAGTGTTTTCTCCTTTGTACAACGTGATGTTCTGGGCCTCTGAAAGGGTGTTTGGAAGATTTACTTTCCCAAGCAGTGTTACTGAATGGGGTTGGGTGTCAGAGCTTTCCTGTAATTAGGGGGGGAAAAAATCACTGAATTTCTCTCTCTTGCATCCCCTCTGTGCCCAGGAATAAAAAATAACCTAGTTACAGTCACTTGTCCCTGGTCCCCGTTTGTCTCCTCTGCCTTGGCTCTGCATGTTCTCTGCAGAACACCAATTAAAGTAAAAGAGCCTCTAAGCATAGCCCAGCCTGCGGCCCCAGCAGTACTTTATTGCAGTAGCAAGACCTTGCTGCTCAAAATAGTTTCCCACAGTTGGGAGATGTGTGAGACATCCCTGCTGTAAATCCAGGGTAGCAGTCACTGGCCTGTGTGAGCTGCCAGCAGGTGGACTAGTGAGCAGCCAGTCACGGACATGCCCCGAAGTTAAAGATCCCACACTGGCAGAGGCAGGATGGCATCCTAGCCAGGCGCCTGTAGCCTACCGTGTTCTCTTCCTTTGTCCTCTCTCCAAGCCCCTTCTCTGCAACCTGGTGGTTTTGGCTTCTGCTGACTGGAGTTGCCTGCTCCTGTGCTGTTGGGTAAGTCCTTCTTAGGCTGCCAGCCTACTTTCACACTTGTCATAGATTCATAGATTGTAAGGAGCTGAAAGGGACCTTGCAAGATCATCGGGTCCAGCCTCCCTGCACTAAGGTCATCCCGGCCTCAGCTTCACTGTGGCGTGGGGGGTTCTGCTTTCCAAGGCCCCTTCCTGTGGCTGTAGCTGGCTACAGCACGTCTGGCTGCAGCAAGGTTTTCAGGGTTCTCCTGCAGACTGCCAGGGGTTCCCAGTGGCAAGCATCAGTCTGTAGCAAGCAGTGCCAGACACGTGGAGATTCTCCTGAAAAGAACAAGAGGCTGCGCGAGCACCCACCAGGGTGGGGTCCACCATGCAAAGTGGGGCCTGGCTTTTCAATGCTGTCTCCCAAACGTGGGCACATCTGAGTTTACAGGCCCCCTTCCATGCTTGCCTGCCATGTGCTCCCCAGCACACTTTCTGCCTCTTGTCACTGTTAACTGGCAGCTGTTTCAGAGAGCAAAGCTCGGGCATGTTAGTGGCAGCACGCTGAACTCGCCTGGGGACGCCTTGTTTGAGAGAGAGCTTGAACGTCTCCACCTGGCCTTAAAGACAGTCTGTGGGCTGGTGGTTCAGCCCAGCATGATTACTTTTGTCTGCTGTGTTTTCAGGGTAAAATACATGGGACTTTTCACCTACATGCTGCTCTTGGTCATCGCTGGAATCCACTTCTGGCACTTGATAGGAGACCAGGCTTTGTCAAAAGTAGGTAGCATGGTGTGCTGGATGTGTAGCGTGTATGTGCCTGTTCACAACATGCCCCCAGAGTAGGAGGGGCAATCTCGGAGGCTTCCAAACCATGAGCTATTAATGCCTCAAACATTTAGCAAATCCTGGCTGTGTTTTATGCAGAAGCCTTCTGTAGTATCTTGCCAACCTCCTGCTTACAAAGACTGTTTTCTAGTTATCCGACATGAGGGCCGAGTCTGAGATTAAAATCCGTCTCTGTGCAACCTTCGGTGCTTCGCTGTATTGCTGAAGGGGCTCGTGGCTTTCACGCCTTCCCCTCATCTTTGATAGTATCTGCATGTCAGAAGCCAGTGCGATTTCAGATGCATCCCAAGTGCCACGTGTTGGTCTTGCAGTAACAGTTATTAAAGTGTCTGCAGGGTCAAGGCTTCATCTGAGTAGCTGAGGATAAGCAAAGGCGAGTAAGTGGTGCGTGTAGAGGTCAGAGCTAGGACTTGAAAATCAGGCTGCTTTTCCCCAGCTCTGCTACTGCTTATCTCTCTGGCCACAGGCAAGATGCTTCATCTCTCTGCCTCAGTTTTGCCATCTGTAAAATGGGAATAGCACCCACCTGTCTAATAAGAGCTTTTTGAAGTGTTGTGAGTGAGCACTTGTAGATTCAGTCAAGACCTGAGCGGAAGGGTGTGGAATAGGAGCCCTGTTACCTGTGGTGGGGAGGCTGCCAAGAGCCAGGGAGATGTAGCAACAAGTTATTTCTATCCTGCCAGGTCTCTGTGCTGTGTCATTTGCTGGCGAGGGGTCTAGCCTTGGTGGTTATCCCAGTAGCTATGTATCTGTCTTTCTTCTACATTCACCTGACTTTGCTCTACCGCTCGGGGCCTCATGACCAGATCATGACCAGCGCTTTCCAAGCCAGCTTGGAGGTAGGCAGAGCAGGGACTGAGGAGGTGGAGAGCGGGTCGTGCACTGACTGTTGTGAGACAGCTCTGTGTTAATGCTGCAAAGTATTGGTTCCTTTTTTGCTGGTGCCGTACCATTGCTCCAGCCTGAAGTGCTGAGGGAGGGGGAGGAATGGCAAAAGCCCTACCCCATTCCCCGTACCAGACATTTCTTACCAGCCATAATAAGCTGAACCCATCCCTTCTTACCCCATGTGCTCATTCTCCGAGTTCATCTGTTGGTGCAGTGCAGCATCAGTGGTGGCACGGGAAATGCTCCTTGCTCCCCATGCTCCTGCAGGCTTGGCTGTGGGACCAGTTGCAGCATGATCCCAGCCAGCTGCCAGGACAGCTAACACGGTGCATGTTGCTGCCGCCTGTTAAAGCTAGGAGTTGA